CTTCCACCTTCATTTTCGACAGTTTGGTGACTTCCACCTGGGTGTTTGACAACAGTTAATTACACACCTTGGCACTTTGGACGACAGTTATACACACTTTGGCAATTTGATCTTGATTTTTGACACACTTTGGCAACTCGATGCGCGCAATCTCCGCAGAGGGTCTTGCAAGGGCAAAGACGACTTGCATATTACCACATTTTCGCGCATGCAGCACGGGTCGAGTTTCCTTGTGTTGGTGCGTTTAGTAGGTGTCTTCATCTGTATCTCAACACCTGTATCCCTACATCTGGATCTCAACACCTGTATCTCTACACCTGTATTTCAACGCCTGTATCTAAGCGCCTACTTCTAAACACCGGTATCTACACACCCTAGCCGCTAGGTTTTGGTCTATTTCCCTTTTTCCAGGGGTCGGACTGGGAAGTCTCTATGCTAATGCATACCCAGATCAGTTGCCTTTTTTGACTGTTGCCTGACTTCACCGGGATGAGGCTTTGGGACTTCGACAAACTATTTGGGTTTGCAGCTGCCCCTGAGCAATTGGACAAACCACCCTGACATCACCTCACCTCGAAGTCCGTCAGCTACCTGGTTTTCGTGCTTGGGCCCACCGATGTCCACCAAAGCACGGCACCCTTTGAGGAGGCTCCAACGATCTGCGAGAATGGACAGCAAGTTGTGCAGGAGCGTTTCAGCTGAGTGAATTGAAGGAACCCCGCCGGATTCGGTGGGTGCAGGTGGGCAAGGAGAATGGTCAAGGGCCCCGGGCAGAAACCTCAGGGGGAGAAACTTTTCCACTCCGCGATCATGCAAGGTACTAAACCATCCATTTGGATTGGAACATCTCTGAATTTTGTTCTAGTCAAGAGTCTACATGAATCTCAACAACATGAGCCTTCTTAGGGGGAAACACCATGATCCACGTGTAAGTTCTCCGCCCCCGGGTCCTCCTCACTGGTTTGACATACTGCGCCTGTGGGGTCTTCATCCGAGTCTTGGAGTCTTGAGGCCCATCCCGGATCCGCGCGGAACCCGCGTGCCGATCCCAATCCATGCGAGGTCCTGAGGTTGGAAGGGTGGTCTACCATGGTCTACCAGGTCAGGTCGGGTCCGATTCGTCCTTGGTGTCCCGGTCCTCGTCGGACTCCATCTGGCTCTCCTCGGTGGACGGGTTTGGAGATCCGATCGGTGGGAACTCGTTGGACTCCAGTGACGAGGCTTTGGAGCTCCCAAATTCAATCAGTTTAAAGCATTTTAAACCAGTGAACTTAAACGAGCCTGGAGTGAGTTACACTCCTGGTGAGTTACTTACTTTGTTGTCCTCTTGCTCCGTTCGTTGGCAGGGCCAGGAGCACCCCTTTTTTTGGCGTCCGATCGCTCCCTTCGTAGCGATGCCCCAAATGTTACTAGTAGGTTCTTGCTCTTATGACGTAGAGTGGTTTCAGAGTAGATGACACAGACCTCAAGATATCTTTTTTATTGGAGGCCTGGCCAACCTGCCAACCTGTTAGAACCTCAGTTTTCCTTAGCCAAGACAGTTATCTTCACCCTGAAGGGTCAAATGGTCACTCATGTTTGGGTGCCACAGCAGATGATCTACAGTGTGCACCAACGCAGAACATGAACACACAAATGAACACCATTTGTGTATAATGCTCCGACCAATGAAATTCCGGCGGAGGAGTTCCTAACCCGAACTAAATGATAATATACGTATATATCAATTTACTTCAGGGTGGACACTGCGCCGGATTTCCACTGTGATCCCCTGTAGGATTCTAAGGGGAAAGGCTTCTATCAAGGTCATCTCTTTGCAGGCTTGTTGCCCACTTTTTTCCTGTCTGTGTGGTTTCTATCACTTCTGCTTTTGGACACCAAACTTTCCGTTTCCTGTCTCTGTTTTGGGGTGTCTGGAAGTGCCAATCACAAGCTTTTCGGTGCACGCTGAGGTGGACTGGAGGGTCATGTCTACCCTGAACCCATGGAGAAGAGTTCCACATATCCGAAGGGGTTCAAGGGAACATCTACAGGACAACCCATAGTTTTAGGGGTTGATTGGAACTGTAGATGGCTCAAGGGCTGATTATAGGAAAACTTCTACTCATAGTTTTTCAGGTGAACATCATGGTTTTCCTGTAGATGTCCCTTAAACTCCTATCTAATGATCTGTCAGAACACGGTACCACGCTGGGCTGTCCAGAAGAACGCTGGGTTATTCGTCCAGGCAATTGGTGGGAGGCCTTGCTTGAGGACAGCAAGGGACCTGGAGGGTGTTGACGGCTCAAAGGTTTGTCTAAGAAAGAGATTGGGATAGCTTAGCAAGCTATTGACCCATCACCAGATATCCCTTCCACTCAAACAACATCACACGGATTTTCCCTGAGCGACTCGACGTCCCCCCACGGCGTCTCACCGTTCCGGATCCATCTCGTCCGTGGACCGATGGCAGTGGTGGATCTGGCGGTCCCAGCCCGTTTCGCGGTCCATGGTTGACCTCCGACTTGTAGTCGACTTCTGTTCAAGTTGGTGGTCATGACCAAAGCGTGGTCTATTCAACTGGTCAAGTCGGTAGTCTATTCACCTGGGAAAAACCGTGGTCTCTCCCAAAATTTCCCCGGTGCCATGATCCAGAGCCACCACCAAGCCATGGATGGGGTCTGAAGACATGGTCATCGGCCAGAATTCGTGAAGGTTTGGGGGAACCATGACCATCCATGACTCCTCACCTTCGTGGGACGTGGAACATGGGCAGGACCTTTCAGGCCTTTACCACTTGTGCTAGCGCGTACCTTTTGGTGTCCACACGAGAACTGCCATAACCGAAAGCCCACACCAATGTCTTGATCGAAGGAACGCTTCTTGCAAGAGATGATGGCATGATGAGCATGTTTGGGTCCTCTATGTTAATGTGTCCTCTGATTCCTTCTAGCATGATATTGTTCTTGTTCTTATGGTTGCTCTTGTTCCTTTCGGGTCCTCCGTTAGATGGCATTGATGAGCTCCCTTAGGCACGCTTCAGATCCTCCATGGAAAACGCGCACCCGGAAGTCACGGTTGGGATCACCTGCCCAACCGTTTTTTGGAGTTTTTGGTTTCCCTGGCAAGAACATCAAGAACAGATGAACACCCAGGTCTGACCTGCGTTAACCACCAGCCCCTTCCACCCACCTTCGGCACGCGACCTGCGATCGGCGACCTGCGATGCGACCCCAGGAGCGCAGACGGAGGAGGGCGGAGGGCACGATCCGATGATGAAGGTAGAGGATTCATGAGCACCAAAGAGTCACAATATGCCAGCAGTATACGTGACCAACCGAAAAACCAGCAGTATTCCCAGTAGGATTTGGTAGAGGGATAAGAGGTTCTCATTTGTATACCAGCTATTTTCAATATACCAGCAGTCACATGTCGGGGTGCCGGTTACGGGGTGCCCGAACGTCACATCACATCGATGGGATGAGCCAAAGCACCCAGGCCCTCCATGCGACTCCAGGTACATCATGACATCCCAGGCCTCGTACGCCCCAGCTTCGCGGATCATTTTGCCAGCTTCGCCGGGTCCAAAGGGGTGGTGGAAGGATGCTCCGAGACACCAACGAAATGACGAGGAGGAGGAATCCAAGGATTAGGATAACAAGAACTGCGGGGCTCTGCAGGTGATGTTGGTGTATTCAGAAGTAAAGGCATTCGGGTGTTGACAAGTGGATCACCCACATTCTCAGGTTCATTGCTAAATCAGGTGTGCTGGAGAGGTATGAGATATTTATGATTGGTGGGTAATATAGAAGTAGGGCAAGCTATATTCCCGAAACCACAGGAGCAACTAGGTAGGGAATCCACTTTATAAGGCATAAGCAGCTTCATTTCTGGGAAAAACAACCTATTGCGGGATTTAGTGATAGCGCAAAGGTGTATTCTGTTGGATCTAGCATCCTGTGTCCCCACATCCCAAAGAGATAGACTCAGACTAGACTAAGACATCCAACACGTGCGAAACCATGGGAAACCACTGACTCGTATGTGACTCGTATGTGTTTACAATGACCTTTGACCTTTGCGATTGCCAACGGCTGTGCCTGTGACACGCGTTCTTTTTTTTAAAACATGTTTTTACACATACTACTGGGATCTACTGGGCATCTTTCGCATGATTTGCTCGTCTTTTGGCCCGCTACTCGAGGCCTGGGACCGGGTTTGGAGTTTCGTGTGCTTTCGGCCATGTGAAAAACCCGTCGGTGAGGCGGTGACGGGGTGTGTCCCAGTAAACCAGTCGAGCTGTCGGTAAACGATGATTAGTTTCTAAAAGGCCTGGAACCTTGGCATCATAAAGAACGCTACTAGGGGCTCCTGGCCTTACTACTAGGAGCAAGGACGCTAGGAGCAAGGACGCTACTAGGGGCTCCTGGCATGGCTACGAAGGTAAGAAAGACGCTACTATCCACTGGTACCACGTCCCCCCTCCCCTGAGAGACGCTGAGACCCTCGGCCCGGAGGAGGTTGGCCACGTGGTGCCACGCGCGATGTGCGCGGCACGGCCGGTGCCAAAAAAGGGGCGTGTGCTGGGCGAGCCGGGTGGGCCAAGCAGGTGTTGCGAAGCAGGTGGCGCGAAGTGGCAGCAGGAGATGTGCGTGACCAATGCAAGCCATTCGAACGCTTTAGCTGGCAGATGCGGACAGCCACTCAACAGCAGTGACAAGGCAGCAAAGTATGGCAACTCCAAATAGATAGACAAGTAAGTCCACCGGGGGACCTTCATACGTGGGGTGGAGCATACGAGATTGGTCTGGGTGTCCATGGACCAAACAATCTTGCCCCAAGCTGTTTATGACCACCGACCACCGCGCTAACATTGCCAGCCGCTAACACGGTCAACCCTCGAGGTAGGAAATCATGAAGTTTGGGACCTTCCAGCTCTGCAAAGATGACGCCCAACTGATGTGGACCAGGCCCCTTGGGCTCCTTGCCATGCCGACCTTCCCCGGAGCCACTCTTTGGAGATGAAGACCGCCGAGGAGAGCGACACCTGGTGTCCGGACGAGCCTGCCTCTTCGCTGAAGGTTTCAAAGAGATCCTCGAAACGTGTCTCCTACGTGGCTGCCGATGCAGAACTGTCCATCCAAAACTTGAGCTTTCACGTGGAGTCGAGGGGACATCGCACGTCTCTCTTGCAGAACATCTGCGCGCACGTGAAGAGCTCCGAGGTGCTGGCCATCCTGGGTGGTTCGGGTGCTGGCAAGACGACGCTCTTGGACGCGGTGGCCTCAGAAGCGCGTCGCGGGCATCGGGAAGGCGAAGTGCTTCTCAACAGCCACAGGCTGAATCGCGCGGTCTTTCGGAGGAGCTGCGCTTATGTGGCGCAGTCTGACGCATGTTGCCCGACACTCACCGTTTTTGAGACGCTCTTCCTGGCAGCATCGCTGTATCAGGGTCAGGCCTCATGCAGCAAGCACCAGCAGGATGTGCAGACGTTGTTGGGTCAGGTGGGCTTGGATTCTTGTCAACACGTCAAAGTGGGTGATGGACTGCTGATTCGTGGCGTGTCCGGTGGGCAACGCCGGCGTGTGAGTTTGGCGGTGGAATTGCTGAAGCAACCCTCGGTCTTGGTGCTAGATGAGCCGACCTCAGGCTTGGACTCCAAAGCTGCAGAAGCCATTGTGGAGCTCTTGAGGAAGATCTCCGTGGCGAACAATTTGGCGGCGATTTGCACCATCCACCAGCCATCCTCTTATGTCTTCCAACTCTTTGACCGCCTTTTGCTCTTGGCCAAGGGCCGGGTTTGCTACTTCGGCCTGGCGGAGGAGGCGCTGCGGCACTTTGAGACCTTAGGCTTTCCCAGCGCTTCAGGGATCAACCCCGCAGATTTCCTGCTCCGCATCACCAACTCCGACTTCGCGGCTTCAGCCGGACAGGTGGACTGGATCTGCGATGCCTGGAAGGAAGCGCCCGAAGCACCGTTGCTGTGCCGAGAGCTGCCGCCGGGTCGACTCAGAGCTCGGTTTCTCCAGCAGGTCTGGAAGCTCTTGGGACGCTTCCTGAAGAGCCATTGCCGCGATCCCATTGCCTTTGGCGGCCGGGCCATCCTGACGGCTGTCTTGGTGTCCTTCGTGTGTGTCGCATACATTGGGGCTCGAAAGCGGACGCAGGAGAGCGTCTTGAATTACCTCTGGGCCATGATGTGGGTTCCCGGGACTGACTTGGAACTTCAGGATGTGAGCGTCGATGTGGGTCCAAAGCAACATCTACCAGCACCCTCCAACAGGTCACCACCCGCGACTTTTAAGTCTCCAAAAGCCACCAGAGGAGACCTGTTGGAGGGTCCTGGTATAGACTTTTTTCTTGGGCTTGCGGTTGCAAGACAAATGTCTGGTGTTGTTTTTTCCAGTCACCAAACAATCCTTTTAGCGGAACGCTCAAGAGCGAGCTTCAGGTCCTGCACTGACCCGCTGTCCTCCCCTCGTCCGAGTGTTGGGTGTTTTCACATTTTAAGGACACTCCCCCACACATGGACACCCTTAAATGCACTACCAGGGCATCCAGTTACCACGATGTCGCTGGTAACCAGTGGTTCCAGGCAACGACTAACACCGTATAAACCAAACAAATCCCTGGTTCCTTATATTGTGGTTTGCCTGGGATACACTGGGCTGTGCTAGTTTGGGGGCCCATGTTTTGCTTCTTCCACCAGAGCCCAGGTATTATTTCTTGAGTCACAGCATGGGTTGGGGATGGAATGCAAGGTGGGAACCTTTCCGGAGCGGCTCCTGAGCTCCGGATGCTCCTGAGCAAGCATCCCATGCGACTCAAAACACCCCCCAAAAACGACTCAACAGTGAAAACCTCATGGTTTTTTTTATCGCGCAGTAAATGGAGTTGTTGGTTGAGCTCCCTATAGTCAGTCACTATAGTCGGCCCATGCTCGTCCATGCTGTTTTGGAACAACTCCAAGAGGGGCTCCCACCGCAGCGCTGTGCTAGGTGCAGCAACTCCCTGCCTTCCTTTGCATCGGTGCTGTGCCCAACTTTGCTCGGGAGCACAAGTGCTTTCGGAAGGAGGTGAAGAATGGCCTGTACCCGGCCTTGAACAGAGACTTCTTTTTGGTGTTCTTTGGGTTCGGCTTTGATCCCTGACCCTTCCAAGAGCTATACTATAATAGAATAGAACTGCTCAAAAACCGGGGTTTTGTTGTTTGGGACTCTGAGGTACCATCCACTCGCACATTTGCTGGCAGACATGATGGTGAATGTGCCCATCTGGTTTTTGCTGGCGCTGGCCGCGCTCATTCCCTCGGTACTGATCTTGGACGCGCCGCTGCGACCCTCACCGCAGGTGTGGCTGTTGCTGGCAGCATACGTGGGTTTCAACGACACCTTTGCACAGCTCTGCGGCCGGTGCGGGGGCGCCATCGGGATCATGCTTTTCCTCATGCAGACGATTCTGAACATGATCTTCAATGGAACTTTGCTGGCACATGCAGAGGAGGTGCCCCATGTGATGCGCTGGCTCTTCCATGTGGTACCTTCGAAGTACACCTTCCGAAGCGGTGTGAAGCTGGAGTTTGAGGGGCTCTATTTCCAAGGCTTTGAGGTTTGCTCTGATCCCACCCTCCCGGTCGCCACTCGCGCCGTGATGCCATGTTGGAGTGCCGAGGGTCGAGACGTGGTACTTGCTTTGGCAGGGCAGATGTTCCCTGTCTTGGACGGTGACTTCACCTATGAGGGTGATTTGCTCTTCATCCTGGGGGCTCTCATCCTTTTGAAAGTGCTCCATGGCTTGCTGATGCTTCGGTCATACCATGGCTGTTGCACGTGTCAGTCGAGACTCTGCGATGGATGCGCCACGATGACTCCGGCTGTGATGACTCCGGCCAGCCGCCAGGGCCGACAACGAAGCGTTTGAAAGCCCCGATCAGATGAAGCCCAGATCTGCCAATCCCTATTAGGTTGACCATGTCTGGTAATCCATTCTGTTCACTTTCCGTCGGGCCCAGTGTGACCCACGGCCGACCCCTTTTTCGCCCCTCGCGACGCGGGTCCGTCTGAAACGGGTTTTCGGTGGGCAACTCTGGGCATCGAGTGGGTATGTAATTATAGCAACTCCCAGGCAACGACCTGCGGGAAGAACCAAAACCGATGGGGGATGTTCCTATAGTCTTATTATAAGTTATACCCGAGCGACTATGAACGGATTGAGTCTTAGTGTAAGCTCCGCTGAGAAATACTCAGCTTGCGGTTTGGTGGAAGGACCGTTTGTCTGCTTCACGTGTCGCGGGAGCTCGTGTGCGTTCGAAACAGCGTGCAGCGAAGGGTTGAGCGCGTTTGGTTCAGACACGACCCGTTCGGCCCCGAATCCTCTGGAGGGGTCGGACCCGAATCCTTTGGAGGGGCCGGCAGGTCGAACCAATCCCGATCGGTTTTGGTTCGGGACCAGGAAAGGGCTGTGAACTCACGGAGCGTCGACGGGTGGAACCGTTTGGGATCCAAACGTGTCGGGTGGTGAACGTCCTTGTGTTTCAAGCGATGGCAATGGGTTGCAGGTGAGCTCCGAACCCATATAATATATAATGCATAGGTTTTCCAGGGGCCTGTAGATCAAATCCCCAGAATTTCCGTCCAGCACCTTCCAAGGGTTCTCCAATAGACTACCCTGCAGCCCCGCACTACTTGTGGATCTCTCAAAAGAGCACCCCAGGGAGCACCCCAGGTGGCACCTCTAGACTACCCCCGCGCAGATCAGCTTCGCTTCCAAGCTCTCTAGTGAGTTGGACTTCGTGGAGAACTTACCCGTCTCGCGGCCAAAGCGTGGGAGCTGGGCGAGCACGAAGAGACTGGAGATAGGTCTTCGGTGTACACTCCCGAAAACTCACATGGACCCGGAAAATGGGACCCGGAAAGACTGTTTTCCTCTACCAACCAGTCGTTTTCAAGGTCCGGAAAGGCATGAAGTGTAGTGATGAGTGGAAACACCTAGCAGTATCCCTAGCTGCAAGCAGCTTGAAAGCCCATGAACTTGCAACCTGAAACCAGTGTTCTGTTACTGCTTCAAGTTCATGTCATTCAAGCAACCCGTAAAACAGCTTCGCAGAGATTTGTGGACACGTATCTACCCATCTCTACCCCCTCAGTCTCAGAATATCCGAGTATTCCATTCGTGACCCATGTGGGCGTCCACCTCGTTGGCCTTGTCGTGTCCACATCGAAAGGCACGCAGACGGATCTCCGGAGTGCTCTGGAGTCCTCCAGAGTCTCTGGGACTCGCGGTTGGTCTTGGACTGGCGCCAGTACTTCTTCGTTCCTCTAACATGTCCCTCCTGGAACCCCAGTCCCAACCAGAAAGAAATGGAGGTTTCCCCAGTCCCAACCATTCCCTATGTAAAGGATTTCAAGCTGGCGCCATATTGGAACAACCATTTGTTTCTGGTTGGGACTGGGGTTCCAGGCTTAGGAGTTCCCAATCCCAACACCGCGAGGTCCCGTAGCGCGACCCACCGATCGAAAGGCCTTCCGGTCCCGCCAGCGCCGCGCTCTTCTTCCGTACCCGACTTCGGCTTTCATTTCGCCCGTTTCGCTTCACGGAGCGAAACACGTCGAGAACGCGTCGAAACTCCTCCTCGACCGACGGACGAACGCTTGGACATTCGGAGCGAGGCTCCGCGTGGGACGAGCGGTTTCGGGCGGGTTTCGCTCCGCTCGGAGCTACGCTCGGAGCTCGGCTCGGCAGCGCTTTGAGGTGAACTACCGCTTTGGCGTGGTCGTCGCCTCGATGATCGACAGGTCGCGCGGACGTCGGTCGGAACGGTGATCGAACGGTTCGCAGACACTTCGGGTGTGGAAGGAAGCACGGTTTCGTGTGCGGGGTTGAACTGAGAGGACTCGGAGTGTTTCGCCGCAGGTGATGGTGTTTTGTGGTTTGGTGAGGATCTTATGCCATTCCGGCTTGGTGTTCCTACTGGGTGATGGTTGTGAACTCAGGCCACATGTCGGGGTGGTGTGACTCGTCCCATCCAGTGCTCGTGGATGTGCCAATGGGCACGTCCCGTGCCCTCCATGGATCGCACGTGGTCGAACGTGACTGCTGGATACTGCTGGTTTGGGTCCCGGGGTGGCGCCAGACCGTCGTGACCAGTGCGACTGTCCTTGGAAGGGATAGATCTGGGTTCCAGATCCATCTAGAATTCTAGAACCAAAAATGACCAAACATGGAAGTGGAAAGACTCTTGGTGACCACCGAGCGAAGGGAGAAACATGGAAAAAACATCCATTTCCTTGCCGACGCCTGGCCAGGAAGTACAAGGAGCCACCGCCGCAGCCTCCACCAAGCATGCCGGAGGTGCGTTCAAACGAAGGGATTCTGAATGATTCTGATATAATTACATCATTTGGCATTGGGATCGGACATTCAACATATCATAGCTGTTTCTTTGCTGAGGTATTCTTTTGTTGAGGTGTCGCAATGAAGATCAGAACTTGCCCCCCCGAGCTGCCCTTGCACATGGGCCACCCGCCTTTTCTCCGCCCGGTTCGTCTCCGCAGCCGCTTTTTGGGAGACCGACTTGAGGTGCCCTTGCGCTTGGTGATCACCGGAAAGCCCTATGCAGGTGCGCGCGACCCGTACCGGTGCAAAACCGAGACGAAAAAGAACGAAACGACCTCCAACCTAGTAGCGTCCTTTCTCCCACTAGCGATGGCCTCCAACCTACTTGCGATGGCCTCCACCTAAGAATGCGTCCTTGTTACTAGTAGAAAATGCCCTTTGGACCGTGGAGAGGGTCGTCGTAGATACGTCTTTCTTCTCCGCCTGAGTATGGCCATGGCCGATCGAGGATTTCGACACGGGAGGCTTCCAACATCAGAAGACACGATTCCGGCAAAGGGAACCACCGTTTTAGGTCGCTCTGCATTTTTTGATTCACATACCAGGAGTCACAAAGGGGTGTCCAATGAAGTACCCCACACTACCTATAGGCAACTTCATTGGACACCCCTTTGTGACTCCTGGTACCATTCTTCATCGTGCCTTTGTGTGCCTTTGTTTGAGTTTCTCATTCCGTTGATCTACCAGGTGATCAGCTCATACCTGATCACAAGTGTTGCCTGTAAAGTAAAGGCATAAAGTAAGGACAGATGTGTTCCATCCAGGCATTTTCTCATTCCATGCGAGTGAGTTATGATAAGATGATCAAACGGATGAGAGGATTATCTCTAGGATTGGAGTTCCTCAAGAAATAGATCGCTGCATAACATCCCAATAATAGTCTTACAATATCTGTCCCTTATCATTCTTATAGGGATGTGATTGTAAGGTTCATTTCTCTCATCTGGAGCCTTTTTTTTCGTGAGCGGCAGGGTGGTTCCTTTCGTGGGGGAAACACCATACGTCTGGCGGTCTGGCGGTGGCGTTCCGGCTCTCTGGGCAGGCAAGAAGACGGTGGCTCGGCGCTTGGCCGAGGCCTACAACTTGGAGGCGCCACTGCTTGGCCGCTCCCACAGCGGTCTGCTGAACCTCCCAACGAAGGAGATATGTTTGGAGAATCGGAGAAGTCCTTGATCCAAGCAGGAGCAATACATAACACATAGGGTAGTAGCATTATACCCAAATTCATGTGCACGCACATGCTAGGCCTCTGCAGCCCAACTATGTGCCGGTTTTCTCCCAACGAAAGAACGCACAACAGACATGCAGGATCCGTGGGGGGCGCGTCAAACGCTTCTCCATGTGTTGGGATACGACGGATACGAGTTTGCCAGCGTTTCGAAATAGAAGCTGACCCGACCCGACCCATCTTGTCATATTTTTGTTCGGATGGGTTGATGTCCCTGTCCTTGCTTCGGCGGCGCCGCCGGGCCGCGCCGACCGCGCCGGCGCCGTGCCGCTAAAGCTCCCCGCGCCGCGTCGGCGAGATCATCGACTTGGACGAGGTGGTGCGAGAGTGTTTGGCCGCCAGTTTGGGACCCAGTCGAGACGAACAGAATGGGTGTGTCGTCGTGTGTCGGTGTGAGGTGTCGTGTGGCGTGGCGGTTTGACATGAACAGGTCCGGATGTTCGGGGTCAAGAAAAAAACGGGTGTTTTATGGTGTTTCTGATGTCGTCGCATGAAGGAAGCGACTTTGGGGCCGAAGTGTCTTGGTTTCTGGCTCCAGAGAGCTCCCTCATCATGGGGTTCAACAGATGCCTTTCTTTTGGCTGCTGCAGTGCTCCTAGAAGCCAAAGGTGGGGGTTTCCTTCAAAACGGGACGAACCAAAAAAACACAGGGAAACGACATGCCGTTCCTGCCCTAGTCCCCCCATGCCATGCCATGGATTTCTAATGATTTCATGGCTTTTGGGGTAGGACTTTTGTCAGTTGCATGTATTATCAGCAATGATCTGCATATGGCCCACTTCCATCCTTTTCCGTTGCGACCCTCTCCATCAATCCCTCCCATGTTAATGGACACCTTGCAGAGCTCACGGAAGACTGGAGTATAACAGTGCTGCTGCTCCAGGGGACCAGAAATCACTTACGGACTCATTGATTTCCCTCCAAAAGAATTCAAACCAGAGGCTTTCTACACTGAGATCCTTGACGCTACTCTAGCTCACTGAGATCCGCTGCTGCCCAAAAAAAACATGGTTTTTTCCGTGTCAAATCCCCTCCCCCCGCAGCTCCGTCCGCGTCAGCGTCCTCTCTCGCCTTCGTTCGGGTCGGCGTCACAGCGGTCGTTCGGGGTCTCCGGTTGGAGCGAAGGCAAACCCGATGACTACACCCGGGAGCGTATCAATCGCCCGGGTGCTTGTTGGGGTGGTGCTCCGTTGGGGTGGGTTCTTGGGACTGAAGCTTCATGTGAAAAGTCGATAAGAACGATGTTGGCATCCAACATTCCGTGCCCCTTCTAGTCGGTCAGTCTGGCATCTTCAAG